GTTCTCAATATAAGTCATAATTCCACGTTTATAATGAACAACGCGTTATGGCTATTGTGTTATTACAAACTAAGTACGTATACACAACAGTTAGCGTTCGTACATCTCACTAAGTTACTATAACTGTACCCTGCCAGTACACAAAGAACGATCAAAGTGACATTTACGTTATCCAACCATTCAGAAACGTCCTGTTCAAGCCTTAATTGTTGAACTTCTTTGCAGCCGTCATCTTGTTCCTGGTTTCTCCAAAATATACCCTCAACTGTTGTCATGGCGTGCATTGTGTCAAAAAGCCCCACATAACAGAGGGGCGGAGTTATCATTTAAAGGCATATGAATTGAAATGGCGTGCTGAAAACAGAGCTGTTTTTGATCAGGTAAAATTAGTGTTTTCTTCCAATACTAATGAGAATTTTTAATTAAAGTATATTGCAAACTTTTCATTTATACCCTAAAGAATCATTAACTTGTATGAAAATGGCTTCATATGACTCTTTAATATTCATGAGCCAGGCTGATAAGGTTTTTTAACAGGCTTCTCAGATTATTCCTACACCCTTGGTTAAAGCAAAACCTCTATTCTTCTGTCTCCTGGCCTTCGTCAAAGAATAGGAGCTGCAATGCAGCACTTAAGGATGTGTTTGTGGAGCCGTTTCATTTGGCATCTCTTGGTAAGCGCTCAGAGTTATTCAATAGTTCTTAGGTGGATGAAAAGAATTCATGGACGTGAGAGTGTCAGCCTTGACTTAAGTGGCTGGATAATTAAAATATTTCAAAGTTAATACTGCACAAGCAAAGCAGAATGAGTAAATGATTTCTGTAGCATTGTATAGTGCTTCTGCACTTTCAGATACTGAATCCCACAGCCAGCCAACAGAGGGAGAGAGAGAAAGAAGCTGAGAGTATATAAAAACATCCATGCATAATGTATCCCTAATGTATTCTAATGCAGAGCATGATAGACGCTTGCTTCTGCTTGAATTAACTTATGCATTAGGAGGCTTGAGAAGGTCACTAATATCTGCTTTTATGTCACCCAGCCACTGCACACAAAACGTCCCCCCCCTCACACTGCCTCTTTAGGACAGACGGAACAATTATCTGATTTTCTGCTGTGCTAGGCCCCTTACGTGCGATAAAAGTGGGAGTGGGTTGACTCGTTCTGAGGTAAGCATGTCATTAATGGTTGTTATAGGGCAGTGGTTAAACATACCATGGGGAAAGTGCCACGGAGAGGGAGTGAGGGACACATTTCCTCCATATTAACACTGAACTCAGGGTCTCTCTTCCAGCTCGCAGATTCGAGTCGATATGAGGGCTGTCATCACGCTCGATTCTCAATTACCCGGCTGGTTCTCAGCGGAGAGGCGATGGTGGCCTGTCCTGCATTGCTGAAACAGGAGGCTGCTGTTTAGAATGAAAGTTTGGCTCCATTATGTCATATATATATATATATATATATGCGTTTTTAGCTTTCATGATATAATGAAAGTTGTGGAGCAGATAAATATATCAGTGGGTATTTCAAATAGTTGTCCACATTTAAGTTTTTGAAGGTAGTGGTAAGGTTGTTCTTATGGAAGTTCTTATTATAGATGTCTCAGACCCAGTGAATTGGCTTGACGAGGGCAGTAATCAGATATAACATTAATATAATTATCTATATTGGCCAGAATTTTAATGTCAGTGCATCAGCAGATCAACTCTCAAATCTAACAGACTTGAACTAAAAGCCCCACAACTCTTTTTCATTTTTTTTTTTTAAAGAACTGAATTTTCTGTTCTAGTTTCTCTCTAAAGACATCCGTTTACACTTGAACACATTTTAGGTTCCATTTACTTAATATTACTTGGTTTTATTACTCGGTTTTATCTTGATAAGTGGCTTTGTCAAAACTAGCAAACATCTGTTGCCTTAGGGCCAAAGTTTAGTGATTTTACAAGTATGCAATTGTCTTACAGATCGACAATTTTCCTGTCAGTCGAAAATTGTCCTTTGAAATCCCAAGAGCAGCGTACACATGTTTGTATAGTGTAACTAGATTCAGAAGTCAGAGGGTGTGCTGGACAGAGCCGATCCTGACCTCCCTGGGCCCTAAGCAAATTTCTGAAGCCCCCTGACCCATGAGCCATGTAAACCATTTATCATTGCCACACAGTCACACCTGACACCCCAGTGCTCCCACTACAATCCTCCCTCCTGTAAATAGTACTAATGAAAATGTAATTCCTGATATCAGAAACAGACATTCTTAATATCAAGAATTCACATTTTAAATAGTACAAATTTAATTATTGATATTAAAAATGCATCCTGTGAATGAATAAAAGCTAAAATGGCTTGCCATAGCATGTCAGTGTGTTTTAAATGATAACAAAATAATAACCATCAAGAATGGGCATCCATATTAACCAGTATGTCCAGCCAATCAACATTTTAAATGCTGTATAGTCATTTTAAATGCAAAATGCCATCTTGCAGAGTTTTAACTAAACTGACTTGGAGACTAAATAATAATTGTCTTGTTTTAAAAGTAAGCGCGCCTATGATGAGGAGTGCCATCACGCCCATATTGTACTGGTCCCTACAGATGTTTTGCTGAAAAGTGTGCATTTCATTTTGTGCACTTGCATATGAACCCATGTTAAGGCGCGACACAGTTAGCTTTTCCGATTGTATAAAGTTGTATTTTATTCACTTTTTTTTTTTTTTTTTGTCAGGCACAAAATCACAGAGCACAGCCCTGAAAGTTGCCAGAATTAGCAAGACAGAAACAGATAGACCAAAATATGCACTGCCCAGCTGGGTTAGACGGACAGACAGACTAGAGAGATGCACATCATCTGTACTTTACGGTTCTTTGCTGACATCAAACTTGGAGAGGAGAAAACACAAGTCTGTCTGAGCGCTGTTCCAGCAATTCATTCTCATTGTGTTTTTTCTCTCTTTTCGTGACCAGAAGGAGAGTTCCGCTTAATTTTCGTTTGATTGACACGCTTTGACATGAGGGGGAGGCGGGGCCTTGAGTAATTTGTAGGTCCCTACGCAACTTGTGCAGTGTGCGTATATGGCTCATCGGCTCTGTTGCTGGATATGGAAATTTATGTACAAGAATAAAAAGAAAACACTTCATGTGGAAGAAGTAACTCCAGAGAAACAGTAACAACTTTTATTTCCCAGATCAGGTTAAAAGGACCGAGGCTATTACTCCGAAAGACAATCGAGCACCTCATACGAAACACTACAGAAGGAGCAGTCAGTTGAAAGGGGCAAAAGATCCAATTACCCCTGTACAACTGGTTCTGTGCTGTACAAGTGTGCTCTTTAAATTGGCGTGTCCTGCCTGCCATCGGCCCACTCCTCATGGGTAATTGACACTCTCTGCATACAATGAATGTGGACAGAGGCGAAAAACAAACACCGATTCTGAGACGCTCGGGCTCTTTTGACTGAGCCAAAAAAAAAGTAGGAAATCAGCCTTGTTTAAGTCTTCTTCTTCAGCACAGTTTCCGACTGAGGGAGTTAAAAACACCTTGAGAATGTAATAACATCCCTAAATGCATCGATGCGATTGTTGTGGTGTTAAATGAAAGCTAGTGTGGTGTAGACTGAATAGCCTCTTAAGGAGAACAAGAAATTTGGTTGGTATTACGAACTACCATGCAGGCTGGCACAGTGTTGTCTGTGCGAGTTGGTCTGGCCAACCTTTAGATCTGGATGGGAAGTTAGATTGTTTTAGTTGGATTATACTGCATATGTCAAAACACAATCGGACTGCTGCGATTTTAGGTCTGTGCTGCCATCCGTGGTACCAGATAGGCCGTAATGAGGTTTTAATCCTGAATCGCTCATTACCACGAGATCAGCGTAAAAAAAAATAATCCCGGGTCAAATGAGGTCGTGACCCTGGAGTCTTGCCCTCAACGGATCACTGAGCACCGATGTGGAGATGTCACTACTTCTCTCACTCTGTCTCACTGCACACACACAGATCAGTTAAATTCCTCTCGAAGCCTAATTCTCTTTTTCCTTCCCTTCTACTTGAGGCAATTCTGTCTTTTCTTACTTTAACAGACGTCAGTCGAGAGTGGACAAACTCATTAATGCTGTGTGCATGAGCGCTACTTTTCCACGCACTTCTTCCAGAATGTCCTCATCCGAAGGTTACCTTTTGAGATTCAAACGGATCTTATTTCTGAGTTTATTAAAAACAAGGAATTTCATTTGGGCTACCCACAAGCTTCTCGTTTTAAATTCACACTGCATTTGGAAATAGTATACCCAGTCGACATACAAAGTGTGTAATAACTTTCTAATTTAAAGACAATTATAGCACAGTGGCGAAGAAAGAGTATAGGAGGCACACAAGGATCTGGAAGTGGTGCTTAAGGGAGGGAATAAATGAGACGCCCAACGGGGTTGGGTGCATTTCTCTTAAAAGCGCTTCCGCATGTGTCGGCAGAATTAATTTGACTTAATTGACATTCATAAACCAAACGTTGCACTTTTACTCAGACTGGGATAAGGCTGTCTTCTGCTGTTTGCTCAGTAATTGAAATTTCCATTATGAGGTGTAAACATTTAGCAGCCACCAAGTGAATATTCATCAGAGCAGCAGTAGTGACACAAGATTCTGTCTGTGTGTATTTGTACTGAATTTGCATTAAAGCAAGGAAATAGTTTTTCTTTGTTTTTTTCTTATGTGTTAAGTACGTGAATAGATTTAGGTGCTGTTGGTTCAGTGTCTGTCTGTCTGTCTGTCCATTATATCTTGGAATTGTTTCTGTATTTTTCATTTAAAATTAAAATTGTGCAATACAGAGAATACACAGAGTTACACAAACATCAGTTTTGTGATATGTCAATCAAGCAACTTTCAGTTTTACAGATAAGATTTGTTCACTTTGTAATAAGGTATTTATATTGTTCCTTTTTAACATATACTGAATTACTAAAACTCAAAAAATCTTTCTTCTTTTTTTTTTCTTTCTTTCAGCCCCATCTCAGGTGAGTGAGGTGATAAAAGAGCGAGTTCAGCAGCACAGCGTTCAGCTCTCCTGGCAGGAACCAGAACAGCCCAATGGCGTCATTACCGAATATGAGATCAAGTACTATGAGAAAGTGAGTCCACACCACCTGCTCCAGAGCTCAAGCTATTAATGAATATATGTATTTGTTTCAGAAAATAACAGACAGAGAGACAATCACTGTGTCTACCTGTCCGTCAGCATCCCAATTCTCATGCAACCTGTCCTACTGTATCCTGCATGATTTTTTTATGATTTGGATTCTCTGTGCACGTAGCTCTTAGTCAAACTCTCCGGTCTGAGTAGATCCTTCCCATCTAATTGCTATAATGAATTAGACACTCATAAGATTTTAATTAGACTGAGGTCCTTCACCAATCCCACACAAACATACAACAAGACCGTCTCAGTTTACCACAGCCACACTCGTGCACGTCTAAGACCACTTCAGAAATGCACACACAAGAGCCGCACACATACCTCGTGATGTCTGGAATTGTATCTGAGCATCTGTTCCATGAAAAACAACCCACAACTCCTTGCAGGTTTGCTCACGCTGCCACTAAAATATTAAGCAGTACTGTAGTCCCAAAAAAACGTGAATACAAATGCATAACACACTTAATTTTTTTTTTCACCTCAGCTCATTCTCCTGCTCAATCTCTTCTCCCATCCATTGTAAAGATAGTGTCTAGTGTCATCAAACTCATATGTAAGCTAGTCAAGCATAAGCAGAAAGGTCCAGCACTTTCGCTCGGTGCTCACCCTGTAGGGTTCCGGTCTCTTAGGCAATGTGAAAGCAGAGCAAGCCTCCTGAGCAGTGCTCCCTGGCTGTTGTCCGTCCTGTTTGAAAATTAGAAGCAAGCCTGACTTCACTCCTAACAGCCTGTGGCATTACATTTAAGGATTTTTTTTTTTTTTTTTTTGCTGAAGTCCAAGAGAAAATACTATGTATTGCACTAGTGCACATGCTAGTCATATGTTGCAGCTTTGGCGTTCACACAGGTGATGCAGGTTTCATGCATTGAAAAACATTTGCACCTTTACATAAATATATACTTTTTATAGAGATATTTAAAAAAAAAATTTGTTTTACATTTTTTTACATTAAAACAAGAATATATAGATTTGTAAAATGTTTTACAGTAATATGTTTTTGGTCTATATGCTCCCCAATGATACATTAATTTAAAAAAAAAATACAGTAAAAACTGTATAATATTATATTACAGTTTAAAATAATTTTTAAAATATCTCACAATTTTCACTGTACTTTGTGTAAATGCAACTCTTGTCTTCTCATAGTTTACATATCACTATTGTGACTTTATCTCAATGTGACTTTATTTTGTAATTGTGTATTTATCTCACAGTTATTTTTTTCCAACTTTCCAACTAATTTTACCAACTTTTTGGGGGAAAAAAAGTTGGTATAATTACCAACTTTTCAATAATTGCAACTTTATTTATTTTCAATGTATTTATATGTTTTAATGTTATCTGCAATCTTATCTGTTTTTGTTAAAGCTGAAATGGACATGCAGGTAGATATTATGTTAACATATAGCTAAATTAATTTAGTTTAAACATTTGAATATTATTGTGGTAGTAGAACCAGTGCAAGCTGGTTCCTTTTTGTTGTACAAGTAGGCAATATTAGAAAAAAAAAAAAATAAAAACATGGATTTCTTTTTTCTTTACTAAAATAGAACATCTTCAGACATCTTTTGCATACCATTTTCAACACACTGACTCTCTAATCTTAAATTCAACTACTACATAGGACAGATAGCATGCAAATTGGGATATAGCCGTACACTCTGTGTGGGTGTGCATGTGTTTGTGTTTCCTCAAGCTCTCTTTGACATTCCAATTGTAAATGAAGCACCAGCTCCCCTCAAACAGCTTGCTTCTGGTTACCTAGGTTACGGCTGAAAAACTGTGATATTGCCTCTGCTTGAACTCTTTACGTGTGAAAAGGGCCAAATGCTCCAGTATTCGCTGCCAAACACTTCAGCGTAACCCCCCTCTCTATAAAGAATTTGTACAATTTTGTGCTTTTGATACCCTGTGACAAGATTGTTATTTTGTTTTCTTCTTTTGAACCTGAAGGACCAGAAGGATCGCATTTACTCCACCGTGAAGTCAAAGTCCACTTCAGCCACAGTCAATAATCTGAAGCCAAGCACAGCGTACGTCTTTCAGATTCGAGCATTCACCGCTGCGGGATACGGCATGTTCGGACCAAGACTAGAGGTCACCACCAAGGAAGAATCCACTGGATCTGGTGAGCAGAACAGTATGTGATTCTTATCTGCTTTTGCAAATTGACCTGCTTGTGTAGCTCTAGTTTAGCAAGGTTTTGCATTATGATCTGATTACACCTGAAGGCAAGGTCCAGCTTCTTCCAGATAAAATCTCTGACCTAGACTGTTTCCAAGGAATTGTGTATTTTCGATAAGATGTTTCGGTTCCCTCTGCGGTTTGTCAATGAGTGCAGTGTTTTCGATTCGGAGAAACAAACCTAACGTGAAACAATCCAACCTGAATGTGTCATTGTTTCAAATGCAGGCCACTGTATTACCATCTGGGACTATTAAGCCCACTTTCTGAAACAGTAGAACCGTGCACTAAGCGAGACCCTAAAATAGAGCCAGCCCCTCCCTGAACCAGAGAGAGGACGAAACGGGGGTTACAACCGTCCTATGATTTTTCAATGGAGCTTAGCTTTAAGCTAGTCTGAAATTCTAGCCAATTCCAATAAGCTGTAAATGACTGATATTTCAAATTCTAAACAATTGTGTTTAAATATTTAAATTTGTTGTCATTGTAAATGTTGCAGGTAAATTTAGGCATTACAACATAATAATGAACAGTATGAAAATGGTTAGTCATTTTGAGATTTAATAAAGATTTAAATTAACAGTGTTGTTAGATGACAGCACATTTAACCAGAGTGTAAAAATAGGAGGAATGAGCATAAACAATTAATTCAATAACGTAAATGTTAAAAACGAATTCTAATATGATACAGATATATTTTGAATCCCTTTGTTTTTCATTTGCAGCTACAGTCATTTCGAGTGAGCAGAATCCAGTCATCATCATTGCGGTGGTGGCGGTAGCCGGTACCATCATCCTGGTCTTCATGGTGTTTGGTTTCATCATAGGGAGAAGGTACGCTCTCGCGGCCCCCATTGACTCTCCGCTACTGTGAGTCTCGTACGCTCTCTCAGTTTGCCTTTCTGTCCCTCAAAGGCCACCATAGCTGTGGAGTTCACACCCTCGCCCACTTGCGTGTGATCACACCATCATGTTGTACATTGTGGGAATGTGACCTCTGATGCATTTTCCCCTCACTAGTTCATTCTGTTAGCATACACCCAGGATGCGATTCACAACTGTGAATCCTTCCTTTTCACTTTTGTACCTGTTTGTCATTGTTGAACCAAGAGGGCCAGTGTTTTTCCTTCTGAAAACTTTACTCATGATGTTTGTCACTGATACCCATGTCCTCCCAACCCTTCACAAACACGTATTGCTCTCCTGCATGTCCATCGACACTGAATGCTCTGAATAATAATGCTTTGGTATTCAATTCATTATGGATTTATTCTTATCTATCTATCTATCTATCTATCTATCTATCTATCTATCTATCTATCTATCTATCTATCTATCTATCTATCTATCTATCTATCTATCTATCTATCTATCTATCTATCTATCTATCTATCTATCTATCTATCTATCTAAATTCTAAATCAATTAATTTATGTTGAAGCTCATAGAGCGGAAGAGGAATACACGGCATTTCTATTCCGTGTTCAGAAAAAAAACAAACATTTTGATTAACAGTCCATAGCCATGTTATATTTTAAATGAAATGTCTGGTGACTGCAGGACATTAATTAGTTTATTTTTTCCCTAATAGACACTGTGGCTACAGTAAGGCCGATCAGGAAGGGGACGAGGAGCTCTACTTTCAATGTGAGTGGCAGCTTTCACCAGCTCATTATACACATTAGGGATGGTAAGATTCACTGTATTCGCATCGGTGCATCTGCATAAAAGCTAACGATGCGATGCATTGATTTAAAGGTGCCCGTTAAAAAAAAACACATACTCCACATTCCATACCAGATGGGGGCAGTATACCTCCAGAAAGGGATTTCTAGAGTAACAAACGAGAAACGGCATAGTCTCTATGCTCCGCCCCTACCTTCACAACGACCCTTGAGCCATAGCCGAAGCAAAGCTAACTCCTAATAGAGGACATTTTGATTCCAGAGGAACATTGGTTGATGTCAAGTGATTTTTAAATATGACATCTTCAAGCTACTCCCCTTCACCTTTACCAGTCAATCTGTTAATATTACCTTTTTATTGTTAGTTTGAATTACATTCATTTGACAGACAGCATTCGCTGATGTTGACCAAGCTAGTGCCATTCAGAGCTGCCATGTACAGAAAAATCGCAAAGCAAAGAGGACACAGAGACATGTCAAGCTTCTTAGCTAATGTTACATTTTACCATCCCCTTAGTAGAGACGGGCTCTGGTAGATAACAGGTGAAAATCGGATCGGATCTGTGGTCTATCAAGCGCTAACAGATACGGTTAGCCATCGCTAACATTAGCACTGTAATCGAACATCCTTTGATACATTTCTATGTTATTACTTCCCAAAAAACTAAACAAACATATAAAACAAACTTTTAGTGAAATACTTACAGCATCTTACTTACCAATCCAAAAGAAATGTTGCAAGTTCGTGGCACCTTTAAATAAGTGTGCATCGATACAAGTTGCCATTTGTATCGCGAGGCATCGTTTCTAACATATCTGCATTGGAAAAAAAAATATATTTATTCATATGTAATTATTAGTAGATGTGTTATACTTTTACTATTTAGAAAGTGACCAATCATTTGTGACCAATATGTTATTATGTAACGGCTGCGTTCACACCGAACGTGGATAGAGCGCCTGTAGCGGGTGATTTCCATGTTAAGTCAATGTAAAGACGCATTGACGTGGGTCTGGAGGTCCTGCGTCGCGTCCAGCTCGACTAGATTGATTTCTCCTTACTAAACTCTTGCTCAAGCGCGTTCTCTCATCACCACCGTTGCTGTTGCCATGTGAATATGACGTATCACAACCCTATGGAGTGCACGGCGTGTCCTTAGAGTCACCTTTAAACCTTAAAGTAGGACATTTAAGTTAATCTGGTTTACAGAAGCCTGTGAATGCAAATACTAGTTTTTCATATATATTTGTTTACATTTGAATACAGTTATGAAAGACCTGTTTATGAAAGTTAATTATTGTTTATGTCAAAACAGGTCCTGCTTTCTGGTCTCTGTATAATATATGACTCACAAATGCCTGCTAGCAAGTTACAGAACATTTCTTTATTGTTTATCCCTGTGCATCCCTAGATTGTTTCACTGTTAAATCTGTGAGTTATTTATGTAACTGGAGACAGGATAGGAAAAGAATGTCCGTTTTTATTTAGCCTAATCTTTTGGTTTTGTGAAAACCAAATATTTTGAAAGAGCCATGCATTAAAAGTCAGATGGCACTTAAGATACTTTATGATTTGCTGTATGTCTGAACAAAAATATATATAATAAAAAATTGCATAGCATCATATTTTTTCTCCATTGCATCGTATTAAATTGAATCGCATCGCGTTGAATCGAATCGAAATCGGATCCCACTGCATCGTAATAGTAGTGAATCGTATTGCATCGCGTCAGTAGCTGTTTATCTTTAATGTATCGTATCATTGGCTATGCATCGAGATGTGTATCGCATAGGCCACCGCTATGGAGATGCACATCCCTAATACACATGCTCATCAGTGGTGCTCAGCCTCGCCCCTGGAGAACCATCCTGCAGAGTTTCGTTCCAACAATCATCAAACACCTGAACCAGCTAATCAAGGTCTTTGGACTCACACTTGAAAATTACAGGCAGGTGTGTTAAATCAGGATGGGAACTAAACTTTGCAGGAGGAGAGAAGCAAGACTGAGCCATGCTGTACATCATTGATCACATTCTGGTCAACCATAACAGCTGTACCCTCTCATATGCTCCAGTTTTTTTTATGAAAAATCTAGAACCTTTCCTTTAAGTACTCAAAGAGATCATTTTAGTTTAATGCTTTTAGCTAGCAAAAAAAAAATACAATTATGATACACCAATTTATATGTTGTTTTATACTATTTTATACATTCAGTTTTTATTTTAGCTTTTTATTCGTAATGTTATTATGTGTTTTTATTATTATTATTGGCTTAATTTCCAGTTAGTAATTTTAGTGCTTTAACATAAACGTATTTCAATTAGTTGCCAAGGCACCATTTTTTATCAAGTTTTTTATCTAATATTTATATTTTAATTTTTATTAGTTTTGGTTAAATGATAAGTTCACCATTTTTAATGATTATATGTAAATGAACAATCTGTACTCTTTCTCCATTTACCTGCACTCAGATAAGCCCGCCCACCAACTCTATACACGATGTGACTGGCCTGACCAGAGTTTGGTTTTTCCACTTCGAAAGCCAACGGAGAGTTGCTAGACCACACTGGCTGCAAAATAATTTTTGCTGCCGCTTGGGTGCGTCTAGATTTCTAGACTAGACCTAAACAACTAAATGTAAATAAAGCTTTATTTATAGTACTTTAAAAAAAAAACTGTTTACAAAGTGCTTCACAGAAGATACATGCATGTGCGCATTCACAGAAGAGAAAAACACATATAATTTAAATAAGATACTGCAAAAAAAAAAAAGTTTAACATGATATGATAAGATATATTGTGCACATTGCCATGTTTAAATCCATTCCACCGAATACAAATGTGTGCAAATCCTGCCAATAACTGTATAGAGCTACAGTCAATGCTCTATGATCACAAATTTCATGTCTAACATCGCCTATGGTGTAAAGCTTTGCCATAACCCTATAGGAACATGTCCTCATCCCCAGATCTTCATCTGAAGAGAGCGTTCAGACCTCTTAGCGTTAAGATGTTCCACTAGGTGTTCTGAACCCCTGCGCCCAGGCCTCTCGGCCAGTAAGATGTTTTCTCTCAGCAATCCCTAATGAAGCCCCTGGAGATAGCGCTGGCTACGACATCCCTAGACTTGCTCTGCTAATTATCAGTGCTGTAGGCAAACTGCTGATTTGGAAACAAAGGCTCAAGGTGGCACAGCTTGCTTGTTCAGGGGCAGCTCAATCTCACTAGCGTTCTTACCCACACGCTGAGGCTTACAGCTTGCCATATTCTCGCCGTCTTGCAACCTTGCCAAAAACAGCACCAGACACTACAGACAACATCTGCTTATAAAGAGAATCTGCTCAGCTACGCAAAACCACAAGATGCTAGCTGGTTTGACAAAAGGCAGATAAGGCGCGCATCGTACTCGTACGCCCAATTTGTTGCTTGTGTTGTGCGGGCAGCAGCGATAAACGCGTTCTATCAGATTTACTGACAACTTAGATGGACGAAGCAATTATAGCAGGCAAGAAGAAGGGAAATATCTGCTGCCATTGCATATGACTGGAGCACAACGCCTGTTTGATTATGTCATCGTGTAGGCCGGCGCTGCCTTGAAGGAATGGGGGGATGTCAGGAAAAAGCTCTCGCCCTGTTCGTCGGCATTGCTTTTGTTGCAAATTAGTAATTTAATTACTCGTTAGCAACAGTCCATTTTAGTCGTTTTCATCCCAGCATGATGTAGCCTATTAGTTTTTGCATCTCATTAAATGGAGCTTAATGTTGAAGTTGACAGGTAGCAATGTAATTATAGGATTTGATTAGATAGTAAGACTGGGCGAGCACATTAATTGGCCTTTAAATAAAAAAGTTTTGCGTATGGTTAAAATAAAGTAAAATATTGCCAATTGGGCATTATAATTTATTAATGTAATTAGTGCTTTATATTATTAACATAATGTTTTAATAATTGTTGCAATGAATAACTAATTCCATCCATGGTATTCATAAAAGAATTAATATTGTTTTGTTATCAATATTATTAAAAATAATTAGTTTTTTTTAGATATTATCTTTTATTTATTTACATATTTATTAATAATAATAATACCAAATCTCTCATGTTTGTTTCACAATGCACTTGAACATTCTTTCTCGGCATTCAAACAATAGCTCAGTTTTATGAAACCCATTATCCAATGAGTGACAGCTATGCATGCTGCTGCCATGCTGTATGGCTAATACCCTTTCGGCTCCACTGTGAGAAGGTTAACAAGAAAATGTAATAGCGTTTTTTTTTTTTTTTTTATGAAATATGTGTGGAAAAATAAAAGCATAGGTTTTATTATTTGATGAAAGAGACCTTTTGACATGCTATCTACCATCACAGTGCGCCTGTTTAGCCCACAGCCCCGTGTCAAAACCCTCCAGTAATCGCATCCGTCCATCAAGGGCTCTGTGTGTGTGCGGCATGCATATTTAATCGTAACAGTAATCCTCTTACCCTTCTACAGTTAAATTTCCAGGCACCAAAACATACATTGACCCTGAAACCTACGAGGACCCGAACCGGGCTGTCCATCAGTTCGCGAAGGAGCTGGATGCCTCTTGCATTAAGATTGAGAGGGTTATCGGCGCAGGTGAGCTCTTCTCTTGTCTTCTCCGCTGCCTCGCTTTAGTCACACACCTCTCTCATTTATCACAATGACAACCAAATATTTACACTCTCGATAGCGGCCAGTGCGTCTCTCTGGCCTCCTGTTATTGATAGCGCTGCTGTAGGATTGGTTTATAATTAATATGTCTTCTCTTAAGGCCAGGATGCACATAAATGCATCTCCATTGATGAATTGCTGCCACATCCCTTTTAGTTACAAAACGTATAAGTGTGTTAGCGTGTCCTCTATATAGCATATCCAATTATCTGCTCTCTTGGTTGCACTCCCCCATGCATAGCATCATATAATGCTGAATCCTGCTGCCTGCATGACTGAAATGTATTAAGCACCATCGGAACAGGTAACGGTGTTAAACTTGACCTGGATCTCTCGAACTCAGCTTGCTGGTGGTTGCGTGTTTCACAGGAGAGTTTGGCGAGGTGTGCAGTGGACGACTGAAGCTGCCGGGAAAGAGGGACGTGTCAGTGGCCATAAAAACGCTGAAAGTAGGCTACACTGAAAAACAAAGACGGGACTTCCTGTGCGAGGCCAGCATAATGGGCCAGTTTGATCACCCGAATGTGGTCCATCTGGAGGGTGTCGTCACAAGAGGTGGGAAGTTCATCACGTGCACATGCATTGAATACTGGATGTGGTTTCTTAACTAGCAAGAAGTCCTTATCTTGTAAAAATGAAGAGAGTACACTTCCATGACCGTTTTTAAATATCCTTAAATACACTTTGAAAAAGTGCACTTTTTTACAATTTTACTGTAAAGCATGACAAGATTATTAAATCATAATGATTTGTAATGCATTTTAAAGAAGCCCTTATTTTGATGTGATGACTAGCATACTAAAGTGCATGCAAAGTACTTGTTTGTTATTCAATATATTTGACATTTTCTATATTTTAAAATCTTAAATACACATCAGACGAAACGACAAGGCCGAATTTAGTCCAATCCCAAAGTTATAATCCCATTATCTAGGTCTGTTAGTCAAAATCAGTTAGAGACTAAAGCAGTTACACGACATTTAAACAAGACAAATTATTGCTTAACTTTTATGGCGCACTATTAATCTTGTAAATTCTGAAGAGTTATGACTTACCATAAGCTCAGTTGTGAAGTCATATTGTTATGATTTGATCTTGTAATTTTGGATAAAATTGTCAGTGGCTCAGGGCCGATTATTATTATTTTTTGGCGGGTGTACATTCAAAAAGTGTTTATGAAAAGCCCCGTCTTCAGACTAAAGTGAATCCAGTGTTGTAGAATTGTCTGTGAATTGTTTCTCATTACTGCTTTCGTACAGTGTGCGTTGGCCGCACTTCACTTTAATGGAGTCTGTTCTTTGCTCTTTCAGGAAAACCAGTCATGATAGTAATTGAATACATGGAAAATGGCTCATTAGATGCATTCCTCAGGGTACGTATAAACCACCCTAGACAATCTGGTCAGTGAATACAATATCTTTTCTGTTCTGTTCATTACACCCACTGCGATTTACCATTCCATTGCTCATTCTTCGGCCGTGTCACTGTCAGCATCCCCCCATGTGGTGGATGGAGCATGTGTCTGTTGTACGGTGGTGATGGATAGACAACGTTTCTCTTTTTGTGTTTGCGCAGAAACATGATGGGCAGTTCACTGTGATTCAGTTGGTGGGAATGCTACGTGGCATCGCAGCCGGGATGAGATACCTCTCAGACATGGGCTACGTTCATCGCGATCTGGCAGCGCGAAACATTCTTGTCAACAGCAATCTAGTATGTAAAGTGTCCGACTTCGGCCTGTCCAGAGTGATTGACGACGATCCCGAAGCTGTCTACACAACAACGGTGAGTCAATTAAGCTGCCGTCTCATTGTACCTGCCTTGAAAGCCCACGGCGCTCTCAGAATAAACAAATCAATCCGTGCTGTACAAATATAGATACTGTTTGTGGTGCATTGTGATGGTAGAATCTTACAAAAAAATCAATACAATATTTTCTAACTCTTCTCTGGTTGAGTGTACTGAATGTGATTTTTATTTTTATTTTAAAATATCTATATTTTACTTAACAGGGTGGCAAGATCCCAGTTCGGTGGACAGCAATGGAAGCCATCCAGTACCGTAAATTCACATCAGCTAGTGATGTGTGGAGCTATGGGATTGTCATGTGGGAGGTCATGTCCTACGGGGAACGACCTTACTGGGACATGTCCAATCAAGATGTAGGTTACTGTTTTTGTACAGATACATTAACCCAAAAGGTTCTTTAAATGGGAATAATGTAACATGATACAGTATACTATAATATTATAAAAAATACATATACAATTATATAAAAAAGATAAAATTAGCACAAGTTATATCAAAGAATTATACAATTTGCACAATTATTTACAATTTGTATTATATTTTATGTAACAATATACTACAGTTATAAACTGTGTTATACTGTTCTAAAGTTTACTTATTCATGCAGTTTAGCAATCAGTCAACTTTTTAGTTGTATTCATTCAAATCATGCCTATATAAGTTGAACAGATTTCAATTAGGCAGTCATCATCACAATAGCAAATATCCGATTTCAATTAGGCAGTCATCATCACAATATCAATTCACCAATCACCACTGCACTCAATGCATATGTAGGTTCTGTGATCATGATTTAAATTCCTTCTACAATAATTCGTATTTAATAATGCCGCTAGGCTTGCTGAACAGTCAGTTTTACCAGTGTCACACACACCGGTTACATCACTTGCTCACCGCACCCCCATTTAGTTCAGTAAGAGAATAGACACTACAGTTAAAAGGAGCCAAATGAGAGTCACAGCACTGATCAGAAGCAGGAGTCAGATTTCATTTATCACGTGACGAGAGTGAGGCGAGTTGACTGATGGTGGAAGATTTGGTTTAAAAGCGAAATGTAAAAGCTCCTATTTGCCTATGTTTTGGATTTAAATCCAATGCTAATAGTTGTAATTTTGTAGTTGTTGTGTTTTTCATTAAGAAAAACAATGAACCCTCCATTCAAGAAAATTCTGCCTCCAAATTGGCGCTAATTTGAAGCCGAAAGTTAAATGCGCACTGCCGCACAGGCATTCTTAAGCGATTTTAAAAGTGAGGTGGAAAAGAGGGAAAATTACAGATTACAGATACGGTATTACAGATTGTCACACCGGTGAGAAAATTTCCTCACCATCATATCCCTAAATGCCACCATTATACATATTTGATAACCTTCAAGCGTCTTTCATGCTTAGGAAAACTAAAAGTTGTGTACTTCCTCAAGGCACTTTTAGCAGAAAATAGAAGTATCTTTATAGTCTTGTAAAAGCACGGCTTGCAATAAAAGTCCTTAGTTACAACGTGAACATAATTTGTAGGTATCAGGACGTTAAGCATGCCTGACGCTTTGAATTTTCTAGCTGGATATCAACACAGGTGTCAGGAGTGACCTTATTCTAATGATACATTTTGAGGATAAAAAGGTTTAATGGATCTGTGGAAAGGAATGCTGTGTTTTGCTTGTAGAATTCCTTTTTTGTATTCTGCTACACTTTCAACCTTTATAATGAGAAATGATAATGCGTGCCAAATTCATCATTAGCAGAGTTCAATCAATTCAAAGATATCTGCTTAGCCATGCAAAACCTTCGGAACGATATGCGCGCTGAGCTTTTGTCTCAAAGAAATTGGGACAGCAAAGTGCCGTTCATCATTCTGATCACATGCGCGCAGGGTTTTCAAGTTGAACCGGATGGAAATTCAGATATGGTCACGGCTAATGATATGTATGAGGGAAAGTGTTGTTAATCCGCCACTGTATGTAGGCACTTGTCTTGTGTACAATGCTCTGTTAGGCAGATTCTTTGTCAAAATTACACAAGCTTGAGAGAAGGTAAACAGTAAAATTATCAGTGAAACTAATGATGATTTATAATTCTCTGCTCCTTAGCAAATGTTAGCTCTCCATGAAAGTGAATAGCTTGTATCAGTCTTTAATGTTATTATTATTATTTATTTATTTATTTATTTTTTTTTTGCGTTACAACATTCGCCTCAGTTGAGTCTTGATGCTTGTCAGGCCTCAACGTCAGATGTTTTTATACCCTTTTGAGAAGGAGGTGAACAATTCCTTGAGGGCTGCTAAAAAAGAAAAAAATATTTACATTTCTTCAACTCTTTCTGTTTTGACACTTTTCTTTCCTTAGCTTAAGCCTGGTTTGGAGAGACACGACGAGAATAGCAGATGAGGATTTGGGGAAAATATACAGTCTGCTTTTATCCTTGGGAGTAGACCAGGGAAAAAAAAAAAAACCATAGATCTGGACAAGCCAAATCTATGTTTAGTTTAGTTGCCTCGATTTAAATAATTCTTATCAATTTAGTGCTAGTTGTGAGCTCATGTTCTGTACGATAATCGTATGTCTACATTTTTTACTGACGAACACATACAGACACAGACACTACATGTTCAAAAGTGTAGGGTTGTAACAATTATAATTTTTTTTTTTTTAAATAAGTCTCATTTACAGCAAGAAGGAAAAACAGTAATATTGTGATATATTCGATATATTGTAATAATATATTTTTAAATGCCATTAATTCCTGTGATGGCAAAACTAAACATTCAGCAGCCAATAAGGCCAGAACTTCAGTCTTCAGGCAGTCTTCAGTACCACTTGATCTGTCTGAAATCATTCTAAGATGCTGATTTGGTGCTCAATAAACATGTCTTATTATTATCATTTCTTAGCATGCCGAGTTAGTAGGACAAAATGGACCCCCTATGGACTCATTCAATTCATAAACCATGACGTGCACAGACACCCAGCCAACAATGTGTTCATCCTTGGTTTAAACTGTTACTTTGTGATAGTATGATAGTATGACTGTCACAAGCAGCTGTTGACAAACAGCTTTCAGTGCGCTTGATTTATTCACATCCAGTTTTTTTGGTACACTTTCCTTGCACTCAGGCACCCCCCAATAACCAGTGCAAGAATAATCACATCTGGTTAGCCTGCTTTTCCTCTGTTGAAGTTTGTAATGCTGGAAGAAAACCACAACAGATTTATCCAGCAAAGCGGATGTTTACAGAGTCCTGATTAAAGGATGAGCAAGTGGAGAAAGGGATAAAATAGAGAGCTGGAGGTGCAGGCAGGGCTTTGTGCACTTTCTGTTCTGGATGCTAATGTCTAAGCTACTCGTTTTGACCTCTGTCTCTCAACCGCTTGGTTTTCTTTTGCACCTTTTCTAATTTCCCATCTCTCATTTTGATCTTGCAGGTCATAAAGGCTATAGAGGAGGGTTATCGTCTTCCCGCCCCCATGGACTGCCCTCCTGGCCTCCATCAGCTCATGTTGGACTGCTGGCAGAAAGACCGAGCAGACCGACCCAAATTCGACCAGATCGTCGGCATCTTGGACAAAATGATCCGCAACCCTAACACCTTAAAAACGCCGATGGGAACGTGTACGCGGTGAGGACACCCACTCATTTTTTTTGTTTTTTTTTTTGTTACTGCCCGGCTTTATCTATCTCTTCTCAAAGAAAGTGATGCCATTGACAGACCAGCTTTGTTTTTACGATGCATGGACGTTGCTTGTTATGTTTTATACTCCTGCACATCACTGCAATGTCTTTCAGCCCTTTTATAGGTCCGTGAGTAAATTTGCGAACAATTCCATCTGTCCAGCATTTGGTTTATCTGCTAGGGCTTACTGATGAAAGATAAATCCCAGGGAATCAATAAAGCGAAACAGCCTCCATGCTTTTATGTTCGATAACAAGGACTTTAAATCAATTGTCATAATGAGTGTTTGAAACTTTAAAGCCTTGTGGGAACTTCAGCCTCCAGTGAGGTATTAGTCAGAGGAAGTGTGTTTACAATCACAACAGGATCTGCATCTCACATTGAAGATATGACCTTTAAAATCTTGGGAAGAAACCCTCGTAACCGTCCTTTATCATGCCTGTTTCAAAGTAATGCAAAGCAACAGTTCTCTAAATTAGTACAATGTGAATACAAAAATCCATGTTAGTTAGGATTGGCGTAATATTGTATTGTGAATGAGAATTTCAATCATTGTCGTGTTGCGGATGTGAGATTACCTCAATGGCAATCTAAATGTAATAATGATAATGTTACTGTGCCATTATAACACTCATATATATATATATATCTTCCTTTTCCTCAGACCCATAAGCCCACTGCTTGACCAGAACACTCCAGATTTCACCTCTTTCCGATTGGTCAGTGAGTGGTTGGAAGCTATCAAGATGGAGAGATACGTGGACAACTTCACAGCTGCCGGCTACAGCTCCCTCGAATCTGTCGCTAGAATGACTATCGAGTAAGAGCGCTTTGCTGTGATCTATCCTACACACTGTCACGCTCTATAGAAATGCATGATCTTTCTAGGAGTAATTTCAGCCCTCAGCTCTCATTCACAATACGATCCTGACATTGCACTGAATTTTAATCAGACCTCTTTGACTCATACTCTGACTCGTGTTGTAGTTAATATGGCCTTTTCTCAGTTTCCTTTTGCTTTGGTAATGAAATACCTCTCAGGCACTTCATGCTCCATTGCTGTGATTTATGAACGTTGTGTTTCTGCTTTAGGGATGTAATGAGTTTGGGAATCTCCTTGGTGGGCCATCAGAAGAAGATCATGAGCAGTATACAGACTATGAGAGCCCAGATGCTGCATCTTCACGGGACGGGTATTCAAGTGTGATGGAGGTCCAAAGCCCCTCCCGGTCGGATGAACCAGAACTCTCCAGGAAACACCGTAAAGTGTGTGACGCGGCAAAAAATATGAAAAAATCAAATCAACAACAAAGAAAAAAAAAACGTTCCACACCCTTCCGGTGAGATTAACCTTCCACAACTGGCAGAACAGAATCATTCCTTTGTTATTTGCGAAGGATTTTGGCGCAGGTGCTGGAAACCAAGAGATGGAGAGACAATGAAAAAGCAAACATGCGCCGAAAGAGAGAGAGAGAGAGAGAGAGAGAGAATCCTACATGGACCCTCCTCTGGATGCTCTAAAGAACTCCTCACGTCACTGAGTTTGAGAGACTTTTTATGCTTTGTACGGACTTTGTCACGAAAGGTTGATTTGCTCATAGTTGCTATAGATTTCACTGCTTTCTTTTTTAAAATCAAGGGTGAATATAAAAATAAGCAAATCCACCTCATAAGGAGTGAATTTGGAGAGATTTATTTTTCTTTGGTTTGTAATATCCACATAAAGACAATGTGGTGTGTTACTCTTCTACTCGATTGATTTTTGTTAGCTTGTTTTCTCGAATTGTGTTACGGAACTGACAACAGGGTAAAACGTCTCATCTTGAGGGAAAGAGACCGATTCAGAGGCTGAAAGTAGACAAGAGGAGATTTGTCTTCTCCAGCCAGCACTATTACATGAAGCTCTCAGCAGACTGAAGCATTGGCAGAGAATCGGGCCGACCTGCCCTTTTTTTATCTAGCAGAAATATCCCACCGCTTGGATACATGAAGCTCCTGAGGATGGCTGGTTGTGTTTTATACCAGCCTGAACAGACAGTTAGGTATATTTTATGATCCTACTTGACATCAGATGTGAATTAGTACAAAGAGAATTGGTGATGGAGTTTTTTAATGTAAGAACAACTACTTCGGTGGCAATATTCTTTCTAAGTTTATATTTACCACATGAATGGATTTATCAGTGCTGTTGTTGAATGTGTCCTTTTTAATATTGACATGATTTACCATAAATACCTGTTTCCATAAAGAAACACAAAATGAAAAAACAAAAAAACAAAGTTAGGCTTTTTTTAATTTAGAAACAAAATCAGTTTCAGCAACAGTTTCATTTGTGTTTAGTATCAGTTTCCTAGCAGGCGACTGACTTTAAAATCATACGATGTTGTGGTGTAAAGGAGTAATACTGCCTTAAAACAAGTCAACTATTGCTCTTAATTTTAGTTTATTAGATTATTGGTGAGATCACAGCTGTGTTGGGCAAAGACTGACAAATATGAGCAATAATTTGAGGTGCTGTATAGACTTTTACTCACGTACTGCTTGGAAATCAGCAGCAGTTCTGTCAAATTTGATCAAAGAGAGTTGTTGAATTTATTTACTAGGATCTCATCACCTAGACTGCAACGTTTTCGGTTTGTTTCTTCCACCCTTTTGTTATGCTGAGCTCAAAGTTGATACTTACGCTAAAGTTTTAGTGCCATAACAGCCTTCCACTCTCAACTGAATGTTTCGTTGACAATTGTTACGCGTAATAGTGTTAAATACTTTAACGAGTACTGTGTACATTTTTAGGCTTGATTTGTTGGGCTTTGAAAATTCTACCATTTTATTCAGCTTTGAGCTGAAGGAAGGTTTTTTTTTTTGTACTGTAAAACTTTAATGTGACACATTTCAAGCATACAAAACATTATTTCCAGGAGCCAATGCCATTTTTTTTTTTTTTTTACCACAAAAGCCGTGCCAACATGTGGCATTTTTCTTGATTAGAAAGAAAGCGAAGATGGAGTCGTTGGAGCGCAGCATCACTGGAGGATTTAGCCTAACGTTTTGCGCTTCAAAAAAAGCCATCGACTGTGCCGTCTCCATTGTGAACCCAGATGGTTTGTGTGTGCGTCTCTCATGGATCATATTGTGCCCTGGTTTGAGGCCCAACTCCGATCCGCTATCCTTCCATCTCGCTAACCTCAGCATTGAGCCCACGCCAGGCCTTTGAATTGAAAGCGAGCGGAAAGGCTCTCGGTCAGCACAAACCTCCTGAGCTTCGGCAGTAGCTGCAGTCACTCAGATCAGCCTCCCCGAGCACTCTGATCTCACACTCCAGCCTCCCGGGGCCCCTCGCAGTCCCTTACCCTCTCCGTTCGGATCCGGGGCCCCTGTAGAGACAGCAATTTGAGCCAATTTGAGATTAACGCCTGGATTCAATCAATCCCACATTAAGGCCACCGTACGGGTCAATGACAAATCTGTCAATTTTTCTGCTTTGTGCCATTTCTAACTTTTCTGGTTTGATAGTAGCAGAGTTTTCGGTCAAGACAGTTTGTGCTGTGGATTGATTGAGTTCACGGTGCAGCAGGGTATTAAAGACTTCTAGAAAGACGGTCAAGAGCCCACCTAGACAAAAGTGAAGTGGAATATTCCAAAGAGTTCAGCACTGTTGATTGTGTCAGAGTAATCACAAGCCAGAGGGCGATTTGTATATGTTCCAGCTGTAAAACTTGTAAATTTTATTTATAATTCTTTGTTTTTTTTTTCTTTATTTTTCACTTAAGTACTCTGTAGTGAGCTCATTGAAAATGCACTATATTTTTCTATCTCACATGCAGCTGATTATCTTCACCCTCACTCTTTTAGTTGTACATAATTTCTCATTTAGGACCAAAGAGAGCTAATAGGTTTCCATTTTAAAAGATTTTTTTTTTCTTTTCTCTTCTAGGTTGGAAAAAAATGTACAGTACAAACGAATTGTTGATTTATTATTTATTTTTTTGTGACAAGAGTATGGATTATTCATTGGTCAAAAAAAGAAGTATTTTCCTTAGCTGAAAAACGGTATGGTCATTTACCTAGACAATTTCTTGTTACATAGACCATTTTTGTCTTTTTTTTTTTTTTTTTTTTTTGCTTTGTAACCTTTGTAATAGACTGTACATATATTTTTGGAAATATAATGCAATCTCTATAGTGGTGTCTGTGCCTTCGATTTCTGTTTTTCTCAACTATGAGGTTTGACTATAGTTTATGGGTTTATGCCTTTGCCTTTCAAATACATGAATTCAACTTTTGAAGCAAAGTACATTTCAAGGAAAATCCGTTGACTCAGCAACCATATTTGGCAACTATTTCAGGCATACAAGACCTGTTCCTTTTTACTTGAATGGGGAAATGCCAAACTCACATTTATTTAACATATATTCTCCACATTATTATTAAAAGAGCTGTATGTAAGATTGTGACCAAAACTGGTACTGCAATCACTTTCAAATTACTGTAAAGCGGTATGGCAACCCGGATGCCGCAACACTACTGACTTCGTGATTGGTAGATCGGTGGAGGGTGGAGCATCAGACCAAAACACAACATGACAACATCAAAATCAGTTGAGGGCTGCAACTTCACTTTTTAACTGACAATATCCTGGCCGGACTGCTGTTGTCAGTGATATAAGTATTTGAAATGAACATGATTTCTTAATGTCTAGTGACATATCAGGGCCATTTTATGGTTAATTGAAATAAATTTCTTACATAGAGCTCCTTTAACACATTTGAATAACATATATTTTAAATCAGCATGAAATGACACCTACATGAGCTTTTAACGGCAGCTGCAATGACGTGAAGACTTTACCAATTGCCGATTGGCTCTTCCAGTATATTTGGAAGGCGGGACTTATTCCTCCAGAATGCACATTGCACTTTCTCCCATTCATAGCACTATAAGGAAACTATCTTGGTATGCTGAACATACAATCTTTGATTAAGGTAGCAAACCAGATAACTAATTGTAATTTGAATTTGAAAGTGATTTGCAATGTTTAATTAGAATTTTTATTGAAAAAAAAATTGAACTCTGATAAAAATAAAATGATCTTTCCTGTTATTCCAGCTGAGCTTCCTGTAGGACATGACCAATTCAAATTCACACTTGAAAGGGAGATTTTTGCAGAGTTCTGGTCACTCTGTTACTTTTGTTTTTCAACTGGCTACTTATGATAATATGACCCTTGGGAGTTGTATGGTTCCCTGCTGAAGCTCTTTGACTTGAATATTAACATTATGTATTGACAAGACAAAGAGCGAGAGGAAGAGAGGGTGGGAGATTTGTTTGATGACCCTGCTCATGACAGGATCCTGGATAGTGTCATTAAAAAGACATTACCCAAAGCCTCCGACATGGGAAAATTAAGCCACAGCCCCTTTGGGAGTAAAACAAAGAGGCCCTAATGGATTTATAAAGATTATATCACTGCATATACTCCGATATTTATTTTATTAACTCAGGGGGGATCTTAACCTTAATCGTGTCTCCAAAGCTGTATATGTGGTTACTAAAAGACTCTGGCACAAGTTCATAGGCTCTCAGCAGAGGGAGGACGAGAGGAGCTGTTTCTCTGATGACAACACATTCCTAATCCCTGCTAATCTTGCTTCCATCAAGAATTACCAGGCTGTTATGCTCTTTTGGTGTAAACACAACAGTGCAACTGATTCCATGACATTTCCAGTTTTAGAGTTCATTTGAGATTCTACTTTAAAAGAAAAAAAAAAAATGAAACGGATCAAGATTCAGCGAACGACAAGCTTTTTGCACAGCAGAACATCAAGGAAAAAATGGAAAAACAGTTGCAGCTCAAGCTTCAACAATTGAATCATTATCCTGCAATTTACACAGTATAATTCCACAAGATTAAATAGCCTGGTACAAATGTTCTCCATCCTTTTCACGAATGATTATGACCCACTCATTTAGTTAACTAATGTTGACATCACTCTGTTTATTAGGTTATTCCAGGAACTCCATAAATCTGCACATTATGAAAAAAATATATTTACCGCAAGAGAGAGGAATATTTCTGATAGCAAGTTGAGTGAGAGCCAAATCGAGATGTTGCCCAGCTGTTGTTTTCACGTTCTCAGTGCACTACCTTTTTGTCTCGAGTGTCTTTGTCCTGTACACTAATAGAAAATGCTTGGATGTTTTTTGTTTTTTTTTTAAATTTACTTTTTATTTTTTTTTTTGTTTCTTTATAAATTAATACTTTTATTCAGCAGACACATTAAATTGATGAAAATTGACAGTAAAGACATTTATAATGTTACAAAATATTTATATTTCAAGTAAATTCTTTTTAAATCAAAAATATCAAGTAGCACCACTGTTTTCAACATTGATCATATGTTTGAGTCTGGTGTCATAGCTGCTGAAAAATACAATTTCACAATATTACAGTTTTTACTGTATTTGTGATCATAAATGCAGCTCTGGGGAGCATTGGAGACTTCTTCCAAAAAAAAAATAAAAATCTTCAATTTTGGGGGGCAGTATATAATGGCTCAAGTGATAGTAAATTGTTTTGCATAAAGCCTAAAACACCTTGCATGATTCATTTAAATACTCTCCTCCCATAAATGTTGCGTCTGAAAGGAAAACTGCAACAAATGCATATGCAATAAGGTCAGACACAAATATACCCTGTATTTTTAAAAGTTTTCAATGCGTGAATTTTGTAAATCCTGACAGTATTTTTTAACGGAAAAAGAGATGAGTTTAGCTCCTGTATTCTTTATCTCCTGCCATTTTCGGGATGATAGAAAAACTGATGAACTTTACCAGGGACTGAACACTCATCCGTGCCATATTCCCTCACAAACAGCAAATACCACAGTCTGTCTTCCACAGATTATTCTGTGAGTTTTTTTTTGTCTATATGCAATATTTTAATGGCCTGGCATCTAAAGAGAAAGAGAAAGAGAGAAAGAGAGGATAAACATTAGACACTGCTTTCTATGTTGGAGTGCAGACGTGTGTGTTTGACATTAATGAACGAGGGAGCTGTCTCAAGCGTTCATTCTGTCAGGTGTACAAGCGCTACATGACTTGAACACATTCAGGTGTCAGCTTTCACTAATGAAAACAGCTCAGCGTGAAACCTGCTCAAAGTTTCCTAAGAGATTCAACCCAACTCTCTTTACAACTCTACACTAAGGCATTGAACATTATGGATATACTGTGCTAAAGGCAGCTGATTAACAGTAATTCACCTCTTAAGAGGTGCATACATTTTTGGTCAATATCTTTTATACAATGCAAGCATTGAACACTCTATAAAGTCTCCTCCTACAGTGAACGTGTATCAGTGCGCTTTACGCACCAATCCTGTTTAACACAGTTTTATAATGTTATTTTGAGATGGAAGAGACCAAGAGAACAACGGAGTCTGAAATAACTGCTCACTTAAATGATCTTGCTCGCCTCAATCTGCTAATTCCTGTGATGTCAGAGCCCTAAATGATATCATAATGGACTCAGAGGATGAATTTTGAGTTTGTAAGCTTTCAAATTATACCTAATTTATGATGATTACTAAAATATGTGATGTGAAAAAAAGGTGACGTTGACAGTTAATTAAACCTGTTTTTCTCAAAATTCCTTTACTGAAAATCATAGCCATCAGCCAAGTTCAGATAAACATAACTTTTGCTACTAACAAGCTTTTGAAAAAAAAAAATAATAATAATAATAATTTAAAAAGTGCTTAAAACTAGCTTCCATACGCTCACCTAAAGGATTATTAGGAATACCTGTTCAATTTCTCATTAATGCAATTATCTAATCAACCAATCACACAGCAGTTTCTTCAATGCATATAGGGGTGTGGTCCTGGTCAAGACGATCTCCTGAACTCCAAACTGAATGTCAGAATTTGAAAGAAAGGTGATTTAAGCAATTTTGAGCGTGGCATGGTTGTTGGTTGTTGGTGTCTGAGTGTTTCACAATCTTCTCAGTTACTGGGATTTTCGCACAACTATTTCTAGGGTTTCCAAAGAATGGTGTGAAAAGTTAAAAACCTCCATGCGGCAGTCCTGTGGGCGAAAATGCCTTGTTAATGCTAGAGGTCAGAGGAGAATGGCCCGACTGATTCAAGCTGATAGAAGAGCAACTTTGACTGGAATAACCACTCGTTACAACTGAGGTGTGCAGCAAAGCATTTGTGAAGCCACAACACACACAACCTTGAGGCGGATGGACTACAACAACAGAAGACCGGGTAATCAGCTCATCTCCACTACACATAGGAAAAAGAGGCTACGATTTCCAAGAGCTCATTAAAATTGGACAGTTAAAGATTGGAAAAAGTTCGCCTGGTCTGATAAGTTTCGGTTTCTGTTGAGACATTCAGATGGGAGACTCAGAATATGACATAAAAAGAATTAGAAAATGGATCCATCATGCCTTGTTACCACTGTGCAGGCTGGTGGTGGTGGTGTAATGGTGTGGGGGATGTTTTCTTGGCACACTTTAGGCCTCTTAGTGCCAACTGGGCATCGTTTAAATGCCAATGTGTCAATAAATGTTAAATGTGTCAAATAGCCAGCAGCTGTAGAAAAGTAGATGTGCGCAGTTTCAGCCGTCCTCCTCTGATTGCGGTGTTGTGACTGAAATACTGTGCGTGTGGGAGAACATGTGCAAAACATTTTTGTAAAATTATATATGAATAATTTTCTATTTTAGCATATTTCATTTTAAAAATCTTTTTTGCACATGTGCTCCCTCACGCAGTTTTACAGAGAACGGCACTGAGTACATCTGTCGATGCTGCTCTTCCTTCATAACTCGAACTGAGAAGGATAGGCTAAATTTATGTAAATAGTTGTGAACTTTTGAAGTTTAGTGTTTGAGTTCCCGGGAAATTTGTGACTGTTTCACCTGTTCAACCACATCAAAGTTTCGTAATTAATAAGTCCATGCTTTTCTCTTTTTTTGTGTGTGTGTGTGTGAACTGAGGGTGTCGCTGTGCCTTGGTGAAACATGAAATCGTGGTAAGTAATCATAAAATACAGCATATTGCAAAAAAAAAAAAAAGAAGAAGAAGAAGCTACTTCGGGTCGGGCTTAAAATATAACCGTGAAGTTTGTTGGGTCAGGTTAAATTATTTTGGGTACGGGCCGGGTTTGGGCT